CCTATAGGGTCGCTATGAGTCAGAATGGACTCAACGGCAATGGGTTTTTATGGGCTTACACACACACACACACACACACACACACACACACAAAAAAAAAAAAAAAAAAAAAACCAAACCCATTCCCATCGAGTTGATTCCGACTCACAGCAACCCTACAGGACAGAGTAGAGCTGCCCCATAGGGTTTTCAAGGTGCAGCTGGTGGATTCGAACTGCGAATCTTTTGGTTAGCAGGTAAGCTCTTAACCACTATGCCACCAGGACTCCAACAGGCTTGTAAGATACACTAATATGGAAGAACAACTGGTGACAAGACAGATATGAAACAATTTCTTAAAATATCACAATTTAGCAATCCTGCACTTCTGAATCCATAACAAGGACTCAAATTCAATACTTTACTTTTTAAGCTTAAAAAAAAAAAAAAAACCACACTTCTGGTCTTTAGAACAAGCAAAAGCCAGATTTGTGAGTCTGCGTTTTATGCTTCTCTGCTCTAGCTAAAAGTGGTAGATTCTGTTTTTAATCAAACTTGGCAAAAAATCACTTATACCCAATAAATCAAATTCTTGAAGTTTAATAAGCCCACTTTGTGTAAGGCACTCAGAATCTGGTCACCAGTTACAAGAATGACAAACACACCAGAGCAGTATCATACAGGGGTGAAAGTGTGCACTCTAAATTCAAGAGTTTGAATCTCAGCTTCACAACTTACTAGCTGTTTAATTATGAGGAAGTTATCTCCTTAAGCCTCATTTTCCTCATTTATAAAATGGAGTTAGTAACAGTATCCATCCAGGGTTGTTATAAAGATTAAATAAAAATATACATAAAGAGTAACTGCTACCATTTACTGAGTACCTAAGAAGTAAAATGATAAAGAAGCTTACATAAACTTAATGTGGAAAACACACTGGGGTACCCCCTTCCCAGGCCATATCTCTGAAAATGTATGACACTGCAGTTTACCACTAATATAAAATCCCAGAGAAGAGAAACACATTTTTGGTTTCTTTAAAGGAGGTGTGGTGGGTCTCTGACTGTGGGGACTCTTCTGGGGCTAATTCAGGAACCCCAAGCCCACACTCCCCAACTTCAGTGCAGCAAAGCTATGTGAACTGTCTGCTACCTTTACTCCTATTTGCCATCCAGCCAATTCCCACTCATGGTGACCCCGTGTGTCAGAGCAGAACTGTGCTCCACAGGGTTTTCAATGGCCGATTTTTCACATCACCAGGTCTTTCTTCCAAGGCACCTCTGGGTGGGCTCAAAGCACTAACCCATTAATTGTTTGTACCACCCAGCGACCCACTACCTTTAGTGCCTTTTGATTCAGACTACTGCAAGAAGCCAGTCTTCCTCCCCTCCTCACAGATACACGACAGTGATAATTACAATTCAAGTGACCAGTTACTGATAAACAGGGCTCACTAGCTTTTACATATTTCAAACTCTAGTGGCAACATGGCTTTAACCACAATTTTGATGCACCTCAAAATCACCCTTGGTTTTTCTCTGCAGCACAACAACGTCTTGCCCTGGGCTGCTCAGCACGTGCTCTCCTTTTAAATACCACCTGCTCATTCCAATAATCTCACAGCTGTTGGAATAAGAGCCTTGTGCCACTGGTTGGGCCAAATGCCTCTTCCCCTCCGACTCGTTTCCTTATGCTGTAGCTTTGTTTCCTGCAGTTAAGATTTCTACAGGTATCCCTGAAGTCTTTCAGACATATTTCTCCCCATCCTTTATATAATCAACCCTATATTGTGTTACAATATACCATGCTTTCCCAAATAATTTGTTTTACAGCTTCAAAATTACCACCTATATAAGTTTTAATACAAAATAGAAGACTTAGGACAATAAGAGATGTGAATGATTTCTGTCCATGAATATTCACCAGAAAGCTACCTGCTTATTTACCCGTTTTCCTTAAATCACTTAGTGTTATGGACTAATATTTTTATCTGACTTTATAGTTTTCAGTTCTCATAAGATGTTATTATATCAGTTTTACAGAGGTTATGAATTACGTATGGTTACTCAAAGCCTGGCCTAAAAAGTACTTGGGTTCTAGAATCTTCCATGTTTCACCCCACTATTACATTCTATGTCTAAAACATGACAAAGGTACTAGATAAATGAGGAGAGCTTGAAGATATTCCTTTACTTCAATTCAGAAACACTTCTTGCCTCTTCAAATTATGGGGTGAGGCAGGACATTGAAGTTCTCAATTAATCTGAGGTAACATCCTTGTTTCCAATATGCATGATTTTTCTTAAAGCTTACGACTCCATCCTCCAGGTGACGCTGGTAGCATAAGGAAAATCAGTCATTATAAGCAGGCAGTATTAGTAGGTGACCATTTAAACTACAAAGAAAATAGAAAACAAGTTAGAAGACTAGAGGTTGGACACTCACTTGTTAGTAACACCAACATTCCTACCTTTACACTTCAGAGAAAGATGCCAAAGATGTTAAGGTTCAAAGGTGCAGTGGTGGCACCAGAACATCCCCTCACTCAGGTGCCCTACTCCATTCCCCCTAGAGCAGTCTATTTTCGTGCCCATCCACTATCCTGAAGAGAATCCCATAAGCCCAGAGGATTACTAGAATTCAGATTCTTTCCAAAAGCTCTATTTAAGGCCTATGATTTTAATAAAACAGGGGCTGTATCTTCCCAATAACATTCATGAAGAATTCAACCTACAAACACCAACTTAACAGGTAAAACATAAGAGCTGTTCCCCACTGACCCCTGCCAAGTCCTTTCCAACAAATATATCCCATTAGTTTAGATGACAAATAAATTTTTTTAAACAAAATGAAACAGACAAAAAAGTTATCTTTTAATAGGAGTTTCCTTGAGAAAATGGTTTACCACAATTCTGAAATAATATAATGAAAGCTTAGATTGAATTTTCAATGCTGGATGCTTTGCCCAACCCATCAGTCATTTTAGATAGAGATGTTATAGATTTCCAGCCGAGTGAAGGGTCCATTAGCTTGTAAAATGCTACGTTAACGCCTCAGAGAAAATCTGTGGCCACAAATAGCTAGCCGCAGGATAGCATTTTCTAAGCCTGTTTATGAAGACCAGACTGCCAATTTTTTTCTCTGCCCAAATTTCATTCTGGTAACCTCTCCCCATTCTTTTACTCCCCATTTTATATTGCCTCACATTTTTCCTTTAGCTCCAAAATGTATTCTCTAGCCGTTTTTCCTCAACTTCAATTCACGCCCTAGCCCTACTTTCAGCATCCTTATTCCTCAAAGGGCTCCTCACACTGCAGCCTTGGTGAGCAAAAACGCTTCACAAAAATGTGCTACAGAAAGGCCTCAGCCTGCACGATCCCAGTACCACTCAAGTACCAGCGGAGAAGAGGCTCACTTAAGGTGTGACTTGCTGTATGCACAGCGGTGATTTTATCCCAGAGAAAATGAAGCTCCAGGGGCCCTTCCAAGGGAACATGTTCACATAATCAGTCCTGTTCCTGTAAAATTTGCCAAATTAACGTTATTTTTATACTTGTTTTCTTGAAGAGGATCCCCAAAATTACATAAGCTTCAGACCCCAAACTCAGACTCTCCCCTGGTTTGGATGAAAAGTTCCTGTCTAACCAACAACTGCATGCTACAGTGCTCAAATCAGGATCACCAATGAATCCACAAACAGACCTGTTGTTGTTACTTTCCAAACACAACTAGTTAAATGTGTAAGAAGGACACCACCTCTCTTACCTGGATAATCCTAAAAATTGGCTTTAACCACATATTATATGTTAATATCAAGAGCCCTTTTAAAATGAGCATTTCAGACGACTACGAAATTTTAGGGAACCTGGGGATTTGAGTTTTTTCTTTAAGAAATCCCTCCACAAAGCCAGTGAAAGGGCAAAGGGCAAAAGAGCAACAATCCAGAGCAGTAATTCTCACACTTAAATCCGCCAAAACTTGCCAGGAGCACTGGTTAAAACGCAGATTTCTGAATTCCACCCCTAGAGATTCTGAATCTTTAGGTCTAAGGTGGGGCCAAGGGGACCCACCCAGGTCTAAGGAGGTTGTACATCAGATGAAGGAACAAAGCAGGTTGGTGGCCCCAGTTGTAGCTCTACCACTGAATGACCTTGAGAGAGAAATAATGTTCACTTAGAGAAAATGTAATATAATGTGAAAAGACAGGGATAGGAGAAGATATCCGGAACTCTAAATCTCAGAAACGCAGGTCGTGTCTAATCCACGGCGTTTGCTAGGGTGTGGCTGGCACGACTCCTTCACCGGAAATGAAGCTGCACACTCAATCTACGAGGGTCTTGGGAAAGCAAAGGCACGCAGGTTCATGTCACCTAGAAGTCACGTCTCATTTTAATCTCCGGGCAGATGGGAGCCGCATCGAACCCGGGCCACAGAGTGGGCCCCGGCCCGCCCTCCGCCGCGGCTGCAGGAAGGGGGGTCTCCGCACACAAAGCCCGAGTCGGGCGTGGGAAGGTGGAATGAGAACAATTCGGGCGAGCAGAGACAGATCGGAATTAAACCGACTGCAGGTCATGCAAAGAAAAGCAGCAGACAAGGCTCCACTCGCTCGAGGGTTCTACAAGGTGGGGTGGGGGAAGGTGAGAAGGGCTGGGCCCCCAGGTGCCGGAAGAACTGTGTGGAAGGAGGAATGTGGCTCCCTCACGTTCCCTCGGGCACCCCCCGCCCCTCCCCAGGACTCTGAGCTGGGATGCAGCGACCCCCACCCACCGCCCGCAGGGGGTGCCCTGCCTCCCGTCCCCGTGGGGCAGCACTGGTGACCGGGAGCGGCTCCCTGCCCGCAAATCTCACTCCGGGGCTGGCCGCAGGAAATGGCCGGACGCCCTGCGAGCGCGGGAAGCGCGGCCTGCCGGCGGGCGGCCGCGCCCTGCGGGGTCGCCCCGGTCCAGAAGGAGACCCCGCCGGCTGCCCATTCCTCCCCTCGCTGGGCCTCTGCCGCCCGCCCAGGCCCCCGCCGCGCTCACCGCCTTCATAGCGGAGGCCATGTCGTCGTAGCGCTCCGCCTGCTCGGCCAGCCGCGCCCGCTGCAGCAGCTGCTCCCGGTCCCCCATGTCGTCGTGCCTCGCCTCGTTCGCTCTCTCGTTAGCCGCTCCTGGTCGCCGCGGAGGCCGCTGCGCACGCGCACTGGCTCCGGCCGGCCCGAGGCTGCAGGCAGCACCGCGCTCCCCGGCTCACTGGCTCGCCCCGCGTTCTGTGGCTCCGCCGCGAACGCCGCCGAGGGAGAGAGGCACGGCGCGGGACAGGGGCGGGCGGAAAGACGCCTGCGCAGTGGGAGAGGCCGGGCGGGTGGCGTGGAGCGACGAGAGTTGTGGGGGAGGGCGGGCCGGCCCTAACGGTCTATTTCAAGGTGACGTCACCTACTATAAATAGCCGCCCCGCCCCACCCAGGAGCCGCGCAGGCGCTTTGCGAGTGCTGCATTTTACCGCCGCATAGGTGGAGGTGGGGGTAGAGAGCGGCGCCTGGACCGTTCAGGGCTCAAGGATGGGCGCCGTGACGAGGGCTGTACAGGCAGCGCAATGTCGCAGTCCCACCCTGAAAAGCGCCTCTGAATCCACATTAGCGGTCTGACTTGAGAAAGATCCAGAAAGCAAAGCCACTGCATGGAGAAGCTGGAGGCCGCGGGCCCGAGGGTAGGCCGGGCCCGCCCCTGCGTCCCGCTTGCCCGGAGCCCAGCTTGGCCTGCGGCTTCGCGGGCCACACCCTGCGCTCCAGTCCACACTGGCCTGGCAGGATCGGGTCCACACTTCCCCGGGCTGCAGAGCTGCAGTGCCTTCCACGAGAGGAGGCGGCGCGAGAACAGTCACAGCACACTTCCTAGGAGCCCGCCCAGTGCTGGGCCTGTACCAGCATTATCCTAGTTGATCACAACCCCGCTCAAGAGTGAGCCGGCTGGTGTCCCCACCTTTCAGATATGGAACGTGAAGCACAGCGAGACTAGTGACTTGCTCAGGGTTACAGTCTGTTAAGTGGCGGGGCCAGGATTTGGGTTCAAAGCCAGGCTGGACTTCCTGCGGCGGCAAAGAGGGCGGTGGATCCGCTGGCTGGTCACTAAGCCCCTCCCAACCCTGCCATGGACTGCTGAATGTCACTAGCGCCCTGCTTGGGTGCCGGCCAAGCTAAGAAAATCCCCATAACTAAACATGGCCCAAACTTACAAGATGCCAAGGCCAGCACAGGAGGGGGCGGCTGGGCTCTCTTGAGAATTTTACTGGGCATCTACTGCATGCTCAGCACTCGGGGTAGGAAGCTACTGAATAAGATACAGCCCTTGCCTCTGAAAAGCTGAGAGCTAAATACTCAAGAAGAGGTAAGCAGGACCTTGAAGAAAATGAGAATCAGGGAAAATGTATTATTAGGGAGTGGAGTGCAGCCTGGACAAAGGCTGGGCAGTGAAGATAGGAACAAAATTTGGGAGATGGTGAGAAGAGAGACCTGGCAAATGAGGTTAGTTGGGGTGAGATTATGGAGTATTTTAAATGCCAGACTGAATATTTGAGGTTTTATCCTTAGGCGCAGTGGTTAAACACTGGGCTGCTAACTGAAAGGTCTGCAGTTTGAACCCACTAGCCCCTCCAGGAGAGAAAGATGTGGCAATCTGTTCCCATAAAGGTTACCGCCTCGGAAACCCTATGGGGCAGCTCTACTCTGTCCTATAGGGTGGATATGAGTTGGAATTGGCTCGACAGCAATGAGTTTTGGTTTAGAGGTGGTGGAAGATCCCTAGGTGGTGCAGATGGTTTGAGCTTGACTACTGACCTAAAGATTGACAGTTCATATCCACCCAGTGGTGCCACAGAAGAAAGTCCTGGTGATCTCCTTTAGTAAGGATTACAGCCAAGAAAACTTTATGGAGCAGTTCTACTCTGTAACACATGGGGTTGCCATGAGTGGAAATCAACTCAGGGGCAGCAAGTTTGGTTTGTTTTTTTTGAAGGTGGTGAAAGCCATAGTTCAGGACATGAGTTTGGCTCTGGAAGGTAAGATACATTAGAGGGGAAAAGGGAGGGTCTGGAGACTGGGAGTTTTCTGGACCTCAGTTTTGCCATCTGGAAAACTGGAGTTGATGGACTATTTAAAGGACTGAAATAGAAATCTGCACCCTGGAATGTCAGAGCAAGCAGGGCCCTTAGAGTCACTGCCGTCCAACCCTTTTTCCTCATAAAGGGAAGCTGAGGACTTAGGGAGAGGAGAGGCTGGCCCCATGTGCACATACCAGGTCTCCTGCCTCCCAGGCCACCTTCTCCCCTCTGTAATACTAAAATAAGGACAGTAGCACCCATGGAACAGGATTTGAGTGTGGGTCCAGGACGCCCCACCCAGGTTTCCCTGTGCTTTGAAGAGTCACCTTTGCTAACTAGAAATGGAATCAAGGTTTAACAAACCAGGCTGATCCTCCCCCTAGTGAATATCTTTAAAGAGCATGGTAGATAGTAATTAATCCTTTCCTCCACCCTCTACGAGGATGAGGTTCCAGTGAGAGGTGGAGAAGGGTCCAGGGCTGGATGGGGGACCTCTGCAGTTTCTTCCAGTCCTTAGAGGCTATGCTTTTCTGATCATGTTGGACTGAGATTGAATTCAAAACAATGAGCTGGAGCTTTCTTTCTAAACTGATTTTGATTCAGTTCATAAATGATGAGTTAGTTCTTCTGGGAAGCCTTTCTTTCCTTCTCACCAAATTTCCCTGTCTCTACTTTCTCACCTGCTACCCACTGCTCAGCCCACTGTACTCTGGCTCTGTCCCCACCCCTCCACCTAGATAGCTCTCATCAAGGCAATGAGCGGCCTCCTTGTTGCCAAATAAAGGACACCTCCTGGCCCTCTTGGCTGTGCTGGACACAGCTCTCAGCTGGGGCGGATTAACCAGTAAGCACGGTATGCACCGTTTACAATAAGCAAGGTACGCAGGTGCTTAATTGTGTTTACTTACTAATCTGTAGTACACGATTTCACCTGCTCTGCCAGTTACCAGGTGAAATTGTGTACTACAGATTAGTAAATAAACACAATTAAGCTCGTGCCTATCTTGCTGATTGGATAATCCGTCCCTGCCACCCCTCCTTGAAACCGTCTCCTCTTGGCTCCGTGACTCTACACTCTCCTGGTTTCCCCTCTGTTCCTCTGGCTGCTCCTCTTGTCTCCTGTGTGGGCTTGTCTTCTAGGCCTACCCTGAAATGCAGGGTTCCTCGGGGCTCTGTCCCAGGCCCTTTTCTCACTCTGCCCTCTCCTGGATGACCTTGTCCACTCCCACTGTTGAGAGGAAACAGACATCTGCCATGTTGCCAGCACCACGGATGGTCATAGTTTTTCTCAGGATACCCCTGTAAGGTAAGTACAATTTCCATTTCCATTTTACAGATGAGGAAATGAGCACAGAGATGTTTCATGACTTGAACAAAGTCACACAACTGGTAATCAGCAGAACTACAATTCAAACTCAGGTCCCCAGATTCAGACTCCCAACCCTGATGGCCCCACGCTGCCCTGGTATTAGCCGAGAAAAGCTCAGGTGTGACGCCTCTTTTGAAGTCATTCACATTGTAAAATGCACACACAACCTCCCACCCATCTCTTTTGCCCTTGGGAGAGAGCTACCACCTCCCCTCCCCCTAAAAAAAAAAAAACAACCAAACCCATGGCCATCAAGTCAATTCGAACTCATGGCAACCCCATGTGTTATAGAGTAGAACTGCTCCATAGGGTTTTCTTGGCTGTAATCTTTACAGAAGCAGATTGCCAGGCCTTTCTTTTGTGGCACCACTGGGTGTGTTTGAACTGCCAAACATTTAGGTTAGTAGTTGTCTTAGTTATCTAATGCTGCTATAACAGAAATATCACAAGTGGATGGCTTTAACAAAGAGAAGTTTATTTCCTTACAGTAAAGTAGGCCAAAAGTCCAAATTCAGGGTGTCAGCTCCAGGGGAAAGCTTTCTTTCTCGTTGGCCTTCTCATCAATGTTCCCCTGGACTAGGAGCTTCTCCGCACAGGGACCCTGGGTCCAAAGGACACGCTCTGCTCCTGGCACTGCTTTCTTGGTGGTATGAGGTCCCCCTGTCTCTCTGCTCACTTCTCTCTTTTATATCTCAAGAGATTGCCTCAGGACACAGTCCAGTCTTGTAGACTGAGTCTTGCCTTACTAACACAACTGCCACCCATCCTCCCTCCTTAACATCATAGAGGCAGGATTTACAACATATAGGAAAATAACACAATACCAGGAATCATGGCCCAGCCAAATTGATACACACATTTTTGGGGGGACATAATTCAATCTATGACAGTAGGCCAGCACAAACTGTTTGTGCCACCCAGGGACCTGCCAACTCCCCAAAGCCTCATAAATAAAGATTACAACCACCACCTTGGTCAGGGCACGCAATCCTAGGACTCTCTCGCCTTCCATGTGGGATACCAGATTCCATTCCTAGGCAGTGCACCTCATGCACAGCCACAACCTATCTGTCGGTGAGGCTTGCGTGTTGCTATGATGCTGAACAGGTTTCAGTGGAACTTCCAGACTAACACAGGCTAGGAAGAAAGGCTGGTGATCTACTTCCGAAAATCAGCCAATGAAAACTCAATGGTCTGATCTGCAATTGGTCACCGGGATGGCACAGTACTGTAGCATTTTGTTCCATTGTGCATGGGGTCACATGAGTCAAAGGCCGACTCGATGGAAGCTACCAACAAGTTTGATCAACAAACATGGCCTTGGAACAACTCCAAAGAGTTCCTGAGTAAGGTGAAGGAGGCTGATGGTTAACGTTAAACATACTGTGTTCCTTAGGGGTCCAGTGCAGGGGCCAGGTCTGTCTTCATCTTCACCTGGCACAGGGTGTCATTGAAGGAACAGACTCCACCCCCTGGCTTCCTGAGAACTGTGTGTGGTATGATGGGGGAAAAGCATCTGGTTCTGGAGTTGGGCTAGAATCCTGCTCTGCCAGTTACCAGGGTACCCTTGGGCAAGGCACTTGTCCTAATTCTGTTTTCTCCCCTGAAAAATGGGTCTAACCATACTCGCTTCCTAGGGTGGTTGTGAGAATCAGCAAGAGCATGTATGTGCTATGTCTGCCTGATGCAGCTCATGGAAAGCACCAGCCACCAGGGCTATATAATAATTCTTGGTTGTGTCCCACTCTGTGAGCCAGTGATGATGCCCCTTGCGCTGGACTAGATTTCCAAAGCATTGCCAGAACCCTCAGCTGGAGCCCAGTGAATAGGTGACCCAGAAAAGGCACGTCCTGTTTTTTTGTTTTTGTTTTGTTTTTCTCCAATACCCTGG